TATGATGGTTGTCTTGAGGAAAAACCTTGGGTGATGGTTTGAACTGTAAGCTAAACTACTTGGTTTTTCCATGGAATACCATTTTTACTTAAATAACAAACTGTGGTTGCTTGGGCATTTGGCAGGTATTGTTTCAAAAATGAAGAAAGTGGGCTTATCATATCAAGGAAAACCACTAATGTATTTGTTGCTGATAACAAAATGTGAACTTTCAAATGAAAGGCAGAATTTTGGGAAATTGTATCTGCCACTGTGAGCTTTACAGCCTTCCAAAACTTAAAGACTTTTCTAACAAGAGCTCTGATGATATTAACTAATGTGTGTTTTTTTAATGTCATCTAATAAATGTGTTAACATTTTGAAGACCTACATAACTCAGTGAATCAACATTTTCCAAATGACAAAGACATGATGAATCAAGATTATGCATGGATAAAAGATTCAAAGCCCAACAGAGACAAATGGATTTGAATGCAGTAGAGTACAAAAAGTTCGTTATTATGGTGTGAGTCCACATTTAACTACCCTTTAAGAAACTACCTCTTGGTATCCTTCAGTGATACATTAAAGAAGAATATCCACAATTATTTGAAAAGGCTACTAAAATACTCCTCCCTTTTCCTACTATATTATTAACTTGGGGAGGCTGGATATTTCTGATATGCTTCAACCAAAACAACATATCACCACAGTCTGAAACAGAAGCAGACTTGAGAATCCAGCTGAACTCAATCATTCTAGATAGTAAAGAAACTGCAAAAATGTAAAGCAGTGACACTATTCCCAATGAATTTTTTGTTTTTCGCAATGTATTTCTCATGTACACACACAAAAAAACTGTTAACATGCAATATTGCTAGCATTAAATGAATTAATAAATATTTTAAACATCTCCATTTTTATTTCCAATATGGCAAGTATCAATAGGTACAACCCACAGGAAAGAAATCATTCAGGTCCTCAATAACTTATGAAACCAACAAGTTTGAGAACCATTGTTTACACCATTAATACTAGCACTTTTTTTGGGGGGGAGGGGTCCTTTTTCACATGTCATGTTTTACTACCTCATTATTTTATATTTTTTAGTATTATTTTCTCAAACACAGAAATGAAGCCAGACGCTATATATGAAGCTCCCTGAAAGCAGGCTCTGGGCCATTTAGGTGCTAAAGAGGTATTCAATAAATACTGAATGAACATACTAAGGATCACAGGTGTGGAGTTTTTATAAGGTATGCCATTTTAATACAAATTCATAAAATATGTCCTCATAACAGTTAAGGACATTTAGGCAAGAAAGAAGTTACCACCATTAAATTATTTTTCACTAAAGAAATCTAGCATGTGGGTATTCCTCAGCAGCAGAAATTTACTTGAAGCCAGGTGCCTAAACATTATTTCAGTCCTCTTTCACTTTATATCCCACCACATACGTACCATGTTGCCTTCTTAAATCATGCAAAGCTCTAAAAGAGAGGGAACATAAAAATACTACAAACCATAAAGGAAACAACAAAACTATGCGAAACTCTGACAGTGCTTAAGTAGCTGTGCTCCATTTTGTTACAATCTCCTTGCTGCCTGATGCGATCATTTCTTCCTCATATTCTAACCCCAGTTCTCATCTTCTTGTCTTACAAAGGATTCAAAGTTTTTAGGTAAAGGTATAGCATAACTTTTCACTATAAAATTAAAGGATAAACTATCTCTAATTTTATGATTTCTTGAAAAGAATTTCAAACAAAAACAAACAGAGGTTCCTGTGCCAAAGTCAGTTTTTCCTGCTTCAAAATCTCATAATCAGAATCATATTCAAGAGGCAGAATTTGCTAAAGCTTAACTCATTATCTCGTGGAAGTCACTCATTCAAAAAGCAATGAGATGGCTACTATGTGCCAGATAACATGTGGATCTGGACCATGCGAAGTCTAACAAAATTTGGCCCTTGACCTAATGAAATGTAAAGATAAACAGGAAACAGAAAAAAGGGAACTTTACAATAAAATATATTAAGTGTCCTACTATAAACACATGTTGCTATTATGGAAGCACAGGTAAAGGGCACCCAGCCCATCCTGGAAAGAGATAGATTTTAATGATGGAACTGATCCCTGGGTTGAGTCTTGAATAAAGAGTAAGACGATGGGAAGCCTCGCCAGCAAACGGACCAGCTGGTACGAGATGAGAGTTTAAGGAAATGTGGCAGAAGGCAGTAAGCTCCACTTGTAGAGCTTTCTGTGTCGCATTAAAGAGCTCACATTTTATCACATCGACAGCAGGAGCCACTGCAAGGTTCCAACCAGAGGAGCTGCATATTCTCCTCATTGTGGAAGATAAAACTATAGAAGAGAGATGAAAGGGGAACAGAACTGGAGGCAGGGAGATGGTCTGGAGCAGGGACCAGAAAACTTTTTCCACAAAGAGCCAGAGAGTGGACATTAAAGCAGTAGGCTTTGGAAGCCGCACATTCTCTGCCACAACTGCTACTCCACTCTGCCGCTGCAGAGTGAAAGCAGACACGCGAACATGGCTATGCTCCGACAGAACATCATTTACAAAACAGGCAGCGGGGCTGGCCCATGAGTCATACTTTGCCAACCTGGCCTAGAGCAGCACTGCCCCAGAGAACTTTGTACAGTAATGAAACACACCTGTCCTACAGTGTGCTGCTCAACACAGTGGCCACTAGACATGCAGAGCCACGAGGCACTGGAAGTGCCAAAAATCAGACTGAGGAACTGAATTTTTATTTAATTTTAAATTATTTAAATCTAAATAGTCATATGTGGCTTGTGACTACTCTGCTGAACAGTACAAAGCTGGAAGCAGGTAAGGCAGGCCAGGCAGGAGGTGAGGAACTAGGGCATGGACAGTAGAGAAGGAGAAGAGGTGGCAAAGGTGAGGGGTATTTAGGAGGTGATGTGGTAGGACACAATGGTGAAGCAAGTATAACTGAGGGAAAACTGCCAAAGATGCTTCCCACGTGTCCAGCAGGGTAACCGAGTGGACAGCTGGACCACGCGCTGAACGAGAGCACACAAGGGAAACCCACTGGTTGTTTAGACATGTTGAACTTGATATGCCACCTAAGAGGAGAAAACACTTGACTAGAATGCAAAGAAAAGGTAATACTAAATATGCTCTTTTTATGTAGAAAACAACTGTGGTACAGGGATATTAAGTGACTTGTCCAAGGCCATAGTAAGGAAGTGGCAAAGTTGAATTGCAACTTGAGTTTATCTGATTCCAAAACTCGCCCATAGTCCATTACACCAAGATGAGCAAATAGGTAATAGTTTAGGCCTTGAGAGGAAGAACTCACTCAGAGAAGCATACAGAAGATCCTGGGCCCAGAAGAGAGCCCAGTGGAACACCAGCATTTAAGAAACTATTTCTTACCCAAAAAGACTAAAAAGGAATGATTAGAGAAATACAGGGATAACAAGTGAATGCAGTGTCGTGAAACGAAAGGGAGTTTGCCTTTCCTTTCACGGGTGTGGCCAGGAGGGTGTGGTCAACAGAATAAAGTCCAGAGAGAGAGAGACAACACCACAGGCGTCAAGGAGAGTTCACTGGTTTTTGCAACTGGAAGTCACTGATGCCTTTAATGAAACAGTCCCGGCCAAATGGCAGAGCAAGAAGCCTAATTATAATGGGCTAAACAGCAAAAAGGATATGACAAAGTAGAGGAAGCAGATATAAACCACGCACTTCAAGTGTTTAGTAGTTTCTGGCACAATGAATACATGCTAGATTTAGCACTTACTGAATACACAGTGAATGGCAGGTACTGTGCCATGTGCTCTACACACATAGTCCCATTTAATCCTCACACAAAAAAACCTGTGAAGCCTGTAATTATCATCATACCTATCTTACAGCACGAAAACTGAGGCTCCAAGAAGTCAAATAATCTTCTACTTATACACAATGGTAAGTGGGAAAGCTTGGATTTGAATCCAGGTCTTTTGACTTCAAAGAACACATTGTTTCCTCTGTGCTTTCACATTATCAGAGTCTTTGAGGATTGCAGAAGAAATATTTCTTAAACATATTTAAATGGCCTCAAGCTCAAGGAACTGATTTTCTTCTTGAAGAAATAAGATTATAATACATGGAACACTGGCAAACAAAATAAGACAGTCCATAAGTAACTCGGGAAAGAAAAGGTTAAGCAGCAGATCTGCAATCTCTCCTATTTGGGGGCAGAAACACCATCCCCTTCTCACCCCCACCCTTGCCAAGAAAAAAAACAGGCAATTTTTCAAAGATATATAAATAGCCAACAAGCATATGAGAAGATGCTCAACATCATGAATCACAGAAAAATGCAAATCAAAAACCATATGAGATAATCACCTCAAACCCATTGGGATGGCTACTGTCAAAAAACATAAAATAACAAGTTTTGGCAAGAATGCAGAGCAATTGGAACCCTTGTGCACTGTTGGTGGAAATATAAAAAATAGAAAAATTATCCAGGTGTTGTGGCGCACACCTGTAGTCCCAGCCACTTGGGAGGTTGAGGCAGGAGAATTGCTTGAGCCCAGGAGTTCGAGGTTGCAGTGAGCTATGATGATGCCACTGCACTCTAGCCTGGGCAACAGAGCAAGAACCATCTCAAAAGAAAACAAGGACACTGGACTTAGCAACGATTTTTTGGTTATGATACCAAAAGCACAGGCAACAAAAACAAAAATAGACAAATGGGACAACATCAACTTTAAGAACTTCTGCACATCAAAGAAAATAATCATCAACAGAGTGAAAAGGTAACCTATAGAATGAAAGAAAATATTTGCAAACCATATTAATATATCTGATAAAGCATTAATATTTAGAATACAGAAAGAACTACTATAACTTAACAAGAACAAAACTCCAGTTTAAAAAATGGGCAAAAGGCTTGAACGAGCAAACATTTGTACCCCTGCAATATTTTGACATAAAAAATAAAAAATACAAATAAAATATTAATAATGACATCAGTAACCTACCGCTGATTCACACAAGGGCTGGAAAGCTCTGCAAGCAGGCGAAAATTCGCAACGAATGCCAGCACTCCATCTCTCTAGATGGTAAACATAGAACACAATGTCAGGGATAACATTCTTATCAAAATTTCCAAATACTGAAGAAATAGTCAACAGCTTCTCAGCATAATACAACAATCAATATCAAATCAGACCAAAAAATTTTCTACCTTTCATTGCTAAACTAATTTTCTTTTTTATGAAAATTTAGAAATGTCCTTAGAATTCTACATTTTTAAAAGATAGTATATTATACACTTATGTTCCTTGTGTATATATAATGTTCAATTATGAAAATAGGTTTTAAGCAATTGTCTTATGTTGAATAAATGAACTCTGTAAATAACCATTAATAACGGCATTCTCAATTACTGTAGAAAGAATGATCACAAAGTAGTGTGAATTTCAGAAGCTGAGGAATTTTATAACAATTAAACACCTAATAGGAACTCACTTTTATATCCATTATCATAATAAGTACAAACACCTTAAAAATCTCAAAAGTGTACTTATCCTAAATATATAAGCCTGTGAGCACCTTTGGGACCTTTCTAAATTTAAACATAATACCTATTACATTCCACTAATAATATGAAAAGAATAGCAGACTTAATAAACATTGGGGAGAAAAGTATACATTCTAAGAATTATATTTAATATACTTCAAAATTTGCAACTAAGTAAATGGAATCACACCAGCACTTCCAATTAAATCAGAATTAGGACTACATGCCAAAGAAAATATTCTTCCTCACCCCCGATACATGAAATTTCATAAACTATTTGTCTACTGGTTATTCCATGCTGTCTTCTAAATGAAAACACTATGAAACATTTAAAAAAAAATACATGAACTTTTTATTTGAAGATGTTTAGTATTTATCCATAAAAAATTATTTAGGAGCTGGGCGCGGTGGCTCACGCCTGTAATCCTAGCACTCTGGGAGGCTGAGGCGGGCGGATTGCTCGAGGTCAGGAGTTCGAAACCAGCCTGAGCAAGAGCAAGACCCCGTCTCTACTATAAATAGAAAGAAATTAATTGGCCAACTAATGTATATATATATAAAATTAGCCGGGCATGGTGGCGCATGCCTGTAGTCCCAGCTACTCGGGAGGCTGAGGCAGCAGGATTGCTTGAGCCCAGGAGTTTGAGGTTGCTGTGAGCTAGGCTGATGCCACGGCACTCACTCACTCTAGCCTGGGCAACAAGCGAGACTCTGTCTCAAAAAAAAAAAAAAAATTATTTAGGAATTTAAAATCCAGAGCTGGATTACAAAAATTGGCTTTAGCAAGGCTAATCTTAAGCTTTTTATAATTTCAAATTCATTGTCCTTAGTGATATTGGAATGTATGATGACGATCGCATTCTGGGAGTTAGGACTTCAACCTCGTATAAATTTTGGAAGGGACACGATTCGACCCATAACAGTGCTCAATCCCAAATTCTTTCCTGCATGTGATGCCCTATGTTCTCTTTTGGCTATCAATCTCCCTAATTTAATTTGATGTATCTTTCTTTCTGTCTATAAGAACATGTTATGATATACTAATATATATAATATGTTGTATGGATTTCCATATATAATAAAGATAACCTCCTTTATCAGTGATGTCTAGGGAATTTTGGTGTTGGTATCGTAACTATTCTCCTTTTCATTATCTAAATCCTTAGAAAAATACAGTCACAGTATTCACAATGCTGTAGATTACCCAGACACTATCTCAGTACAAATCACAACAGTTAATCTAAGAGGCAAAGTCAAAGATAGGTTGAAACTGCTCACAATTACAACACACCTGAATTGCGTCAATCGCTGTCACGCAACACTGTGCAACAACAGATGAGCCATTACTGTGAACCGCAAATCTTTTTTTTGTTTTTGAGACAGAGTCTCACTCTGTTGCCCGAGCTAGAGTGCCGTGGCATCAGCCTAGCTCATAGCAACCTCAAACTCCTGGGCTCAAGCAATCCTTCTGCCTCAGCCTCCCGAGTAGATGGAACTACAGGCACAAGCCACCATGCCTGGCTAATTTTGTCCATATATTTTCAGTTAGCCAATTAATTTCTATTTTTTTTTTTTAGTAGAGATGGGGGTCTTGCTCTTGCTCAGGCTGGTTTTGAACTCCTGACCCTAAGCAATCCTTCCTCCTTGGCCTCACAGAATGCTGGGATTACAGGCATGAGCCACTGCTTCTGGCCCTGGTTGCCTTTTTTTTGAGACAGAGTCTTGCTCTGTCACCAAGGCTAGAGTACCATCGTGTCAGCCTAGCTCATAGCAACCTCAGACTCCTGGGCTCAAGTAATCCTACCACCTAGGCCTCCCAGAGTACTAGGATTATAGCTGTGAGCCACTGCATCCAGCCATGAACCACAAATCACAGTTGCCATGATTTTTGCATTACAGGAGGAGGCTCCCCAGGATGCAGGATTTTCAGTGGTAACCTGGTAAAACCAGGACAGCTGTGGGCAGACCACTCCCATCTGTAAATTCATTTTAATACATAATGGAGATCACATTTGCAACTAAGAAACAGGAAGGATGAGAAAAGAACAAATGTCTGACCTAACTTATCCAGCATACAGTACTTTAAAGATAATAGGAAAGAAACTGCCATTTACATTTCAAGTCTCTGGATATTTTGTGTGCTTTTTTAATTAAAAAAAATTGGTGACTTGTTCAAAGTTAAGGTGAGTTTTCTTCCAAAAAATTGGCTGGAATATTTGAGTTAAGAAGAGTTAGGACAGCCGGGCATGGTGGCTCACGCCTGTAATCCTAGCCCTCTGAGAGATGGAGGCAGGAGGATTGCTTGAGCTCAGGAGTTCAAGACCAGCCTTAGCAAGAGTGTGATACCCTGCCCCCAAAAAGAAGAGTTTGGAAGAACAAGTAATTGTGTTCAATTGTAGATAATCCAAATAAAATAAGAAAGCTATAATGTTCTGTTTTTCTTTCTCTCCACAGTTAAATTCTGCAGTGAATTAGGGTAAGGGAGAACTTTGAAAATAGTATACAACTAGAATGTGACTCCTGTAGGGACAAAAAATGGAAGGATAAAGTTATTTTAATGAGATTCTTACTTGAACCAGTTATAAACATTTTGAAGTATTTTTATTAGTATGATCCTTCACTATAATGGATCCCTGTATATAATAAATGTGCACTCTTGTTTCTAAGAGATAAATCCTCTCATTTAAAACATTGCCCTTCTTCCCTCAGTTTAAGGCAGTTCTTCTTCCAATCTATTTTTCCTAACAATTTTCTTCTTTTTCTTCTACAATATTCTACTTAATAATGCTCAATGTTTAGAGAATCTGACAGAACAGACTGAAGCAAATTATTATGAATTCATATGTTCCTAAGGCCAGCCCAAATCCTTGCTAAATTACTTACTGTAGCCTTCAAATAGTTTTTCCAAAGATGCAATCCAATACTGAAATCTGTTTCTATTTTTATTCTTTTAAATTTTTTTTTTTTTTCTTTTGAGACAGAGTCTTGCTCTGTTGCCCAGGCTAGAGTACAGTGGTGTTATCATAGCTCACAGCAACCTCAAACTCTTGGGCTCAAGTGATTCTCCTGTCCCAACCTCCTGAGTGGCTAGGACTACAGGTACATGCCATTATACCAGGCTAATTTTTCTACTTTTTGTAGAGATGGGGTCTTACTCTTGCTCAAGCTGATCTCTACCTCCTGACCTCAAGTAATCCTCCCACCTTGGCCTCCCAAAGTGTTAGGATTACCGGTGTGAGCCACTGCACTAGGCCCTAATTTTAACAAAATCTGACATTCCATTTTTAAAATATTTTAAAGCAGACGCCCCAAAGTCATGTAAAATATTGAAATAATATAGTAGCAATAGGCTTAAACTTTAAAAGACAATTCTAAAAATTTCTCTCTAGTTCATATTAACTTTAAAAATATATCCATGTAGATTTTGGTTTCTTGAGCAAAAAAAATAAATATATATATCCATGAACTATGCTATATCTAAGACATTTTTTGAGAGTTTAAAAGATTACTTCATCCAACTACTTTCATATTGGTATAGAATTAAAAATAACTATTAACATTAACCAAAGTACCAAATTAGTATCAGATTAAACCTGACTTTATGATTATTTTTTAAATATTAAAAGAGGGACTAATAAAAACAGTAAATTTGATATGTTGTTTTCAGCTAATCAACTTTGGCCAAAGTGCAAATTCTCCTTGCTTTGAGGATACTTTCTGTTGAATTTAAAAAAAGGCAGGGGAGGGGGGGTGGCTAACATCTTCGTCTTTCTGCTAATTTCTCTTCCCAAACAGAAGGGTCAGTTCTGTTATGTCTGGCCCATGTTGTCCCCTGACCAGCAGCATCAGCATCACCTGGAAACTTGCTAGACAGGTATATTCTTTGGCCTGTCCTAGACAAAATGAATCCGAAACCCTGCAGGTTGGGACCAGAAATCTGTGTTTTAACAGGCCCCCCAGGTGATTCTAAAGAATATTAAAGTGAGAGAGCTGCTGTCCTGGCCTAGAGATGACTGGCAATCTGTACACCTGAAGGAGCTAGCCCCCACTTCCCCGAAACTGTGGTCAGTGAAGGTTTAGAAGAAACACCCCCACCATTCTCAAGGCAGACCTGCTACATTCCTCCAGAAATGTTTTTCCTGACCCCCAAATCCCAGTCAAGTGCCTCTACAGATCTCTCCCCTTGTCAGAGTACATAGCCCCTGACAAATATCTCTGTTCCTGTGCCTCAGTCACTATTATATCCATATGACCTAGCACAGTGCCTGGCCCATGTCTCCTGAGGTGAACCTTGCATGCTCACCAGCATTAAGATGTCACTTCTAAAGTCAGAAATTTCCAAAAGAATCCTTCAGACCTATTTCTGAGCGGGTAAGAGTGGCATCAGAATATTAGTGTTCCATTCTAAAAGGAGAAAAATATCCAGATTTTAACTTTGTAAAGAGATCAGTGAAACCACATTAGAGGTTATCAAACTTATTATGAGGAAAAAAAAAAGTCTCAAAGTTTAATCTCTAATCTTTGATACATTT